ATATATATATATATATATATATGTATGCAGCAATACATGAAAAGAATCATATACCATGACCAAGTGACACTCATTCCAGTAACACAAGCTTGGTTCAATATTTGAAACTCAATCAGTGTGACCCACCATACTATCAGGTTAAAGAACAAGTCATGTGAACACGTCAACAGAGGCAGAAAGGGTATCTGACAAAATTTAACACCCGCTCATAATTAAAAACTACCAGAAAAATGGGAATAGAGGGGAACTTCTTCAACTTGATAAAGAGCATCTACCGAAAACGCACAGCTGTTACTACACTTAACGGAGGAAGGCTGTGCGCTGTTCCCGAGCTCAGGACAAGGCAGGGCGGCCACGCTCATGCCATCAGCACGGTGCTGGAAGTCCAGCCAGGGCAAAGTCAGCAAGAAAAAAAAAGGCACAGATTGGAAAGGAAGAAATCATTGTCCCTATTTTCAGATGGTATCACTTGTCTACAGAGAAATATCCCAAGGAATCTAAAAACAAGAACATCCTAGAATAACCTAGCAAGGTCACAGGATTTAACACACACAAAAATCAACTGTACTTCTTGATATTAGAGATGAATCTGTGCACATTAAAATGAAAAAGAAAAGAAATACTTAGGTGTGAGTCTAACAAAAGGTGTACAGCCTCTGTATGCTGCAAACTACAGAAACCTGACGAAGGAAGTCAGAGCTCTGAGTTATGGGAGGCTACACGGCCACGGTCTGGAGGTGACGCGGTACGGCTGGCACTTCTCCCCATGCGGGTCTGTAGGCTCAGCACAGCTCCTACCAAACGTCAGCAAGGTCTTCTGTGACACAGAAAGCTTGTTCTACCACTTACATGGGAAGAGAAGAGCCCAAGAACAGCCAGACAATTCGTAAAAAGGAAGATAAGTGCAGTAGTTACAGTTGTCAACACACGGTGACACTGGTGGGGGACAGTCACACAGACTAAGGGAGACAGCAGAGAACCCAGGAACAGACCCAGCTGCTTTCTAACAAACATGCGTAAGCAGTTCAATGAAGGAAAGACAAACTTTTCAGTTAATGGTGCCAGAGCCATCAGACATCCATAGGCAACCGCGCCCCCAACCAAAACAAACCCCTTCACCTAAACTTCAGATCTTATGCAGAAATTAACCCAAAGTGGACCACAGATTTAAGTGTAAAATGGAGAACTATAAAACCTTTAGAAAAAATACGTAGAAGAAAATCTTTGGGATCGAGAGCTAAAGAAAGAGCTCTTAGACTTGACACCAAAAGCCTCGTCCATAAAAGGATTCATCAGAATTTAGAACTTGCTCTGCAAAACCCCATGAGCCACCAACAAGTGAAAGGTCAAAAGCACCGTGGGCCGCCCAGGGCCAGGGGTGCTGGCTGGCAACAGCAGGCACAAACTGTTAGAAATCCACCCAGATGAAACGCAAAAATCATGCCGATTGGAAAATGCCAATTACAAACGTTATGCATCGCGATTCCATTTGTCTAATGTCCTGGAAACGAGTCACAGAAACGGAGCACAGTGGCTGCCAGGGACCACAGGGGCAGGACGGAGGGGCGTGCCATAGCTACAGGGTGGCTGGAAGGACCCTGTGGGGACACACCTTGGTGTCAGCGCCCCGCTGTGACGTGCTGTAGCTGACCACTGGGGAACAGGCCCAAAGGCACACGCGTCTCTGTTATTTCTGATGACAGCCCATGATGCTACAATCATCTCAAAATAGTAACGAAAACCAGTCTCGCATGTATTACAAGCAAGGTGGAGGCAAACGTCTGAGAGAGGCCGGCACGCAGGACTGGCCACTGGGTGAACGACAGCAGGCAGATGACCCCAGCACCCACTCTGGATACCTCAGAGGGGCTCTGCCCAGAACCCGGGGTCACTAAGGGGTCCTTACTTCATTCCGCTTTATCAGTACTTCAGCTGTCCCTCAGACACAGACCAGACGGAGAGGCAGATCTCGTCAGAAGGCGGGAAGCACAGCCTGAGGGGGTCCAGAGCCCAGCCCAAGGCCCTCGCGGAGGGAGGGAGTGAGCGTGCAGAGCGGTGTGGCCGCGAGCCAGAGCCCACGCCACCGAAGCTCAGCGAAGCGATGGTGACACACGTGAGATGAAGATGCTCTCAGAACACAAAATGGACGGAAACAAAAATGCACGAGAAGCGGCTCTACCTGGTGGCTAATAACTGAATGGCGGGAAAAACATATTTCCAAACAATCAACAAATTTCAAAACACTTGACAGAGCTGTGTCAACTTTGCCACATTGCATGCTAGGAAAAGTCGCACATCCTGTTCCAGTGAGGTCCTCAGCTGCAGGCAAGTGAGGGGCTCGGGGTGGATGGTCATACCTCCTACGGTTAGCATTCGAAGTCGGTCCTGGAAAACGGCAAGGTCTGAGAGCGGGGAGGTGGGTGAGCGCAGGAGGAAAAAGACAAGTGAGTTAGTCAGGGAGCTCGACACCCCAGCCCTGCACGTCACGGGAGCACAAACACGTCACGCAGACACACACCGGGAGAGGCGGGGTGGGGATGGCGGGACATGGGTGGAGTGCTACGTGGTGAACAGCTGGGGGGGGGTAAGGCCCTGGGGATGCTCGCTCGGAGGCCACTGGGCAGCGGCGTGAGTGCGCCCTTCCCACCCTAGAGAAGTGGCTGAGCTGTGGCTGTCCCACTGTCCTGGGGATGCCAGACCCAGCCCACCTAGACACTTCAGGATGAAACCACTAGGGAAGAGAATGAGACAATGAGAAAGCCTCATTTTTCAGGCACCATTCCTCAGAACTGGGCATCAGGCCGTCTAGACCCTAAAGCTCAGGATTCTGCAGGATTTGAGGGGCAGGCGGGTCCCCAGTCCGCATGTCCCCACGCAGGGAATGGAGGTGCAGGCACTCAGCTGCGCAGAACACAACCCAAGAGCCCCCCCCCCCAGCACTTCAGTGCGGCCACCACACCTGGCAGGAAAAGACGGCATCTCCTCCTGAGCCAGCCCACTCTGTCCTGCCGGGACAGGAGCCGTCCCTTTGTTCAGCGGATTCAGGCCTGCTCGTCACCTGGTGGCCGCTCCCACGTTCACGTAACTTCTGTGAGAGCACGTGGCTGTAATCGTTTATTGCCAGTTACTGCTGGTAAGTGCTGTGCCTGCTCCATACACTACAATTGCCACAGGCACGTGTGCACAGAAACAGCAGTACATAGAGGTCTGCACCACCCGTGGTTTCAAACACCCCCGAGCGTCTTGGAGTGTGTGCCCACTGGTAAGAGCAGACACCTGTTCTTTTCAGTATTTTTAAAATAAAACATGAACGAAAGACACAGACCAAAGGAGAGCCAAAGCTGTTCTGGTTGTCGTTTACAGAGTACACAGGATCTCGGCAGCGGAGCACCTGAAAACATGTAAGAAAATTCCGGCTGCTAGACAGAGGGGCTGGGTTCGGCCACGGTGCCTTCAGGAGAGCAGAGAGGGCGAGGGACAGGTACATGACAGGCCTGGGCAAGGCTCGGTCAGTCGGTCAACTCCCGGGCGTCCAGGAGGGAGGACAGCCTGGGGGAGGCCCTTCTTTATCACTTAGGGACCCGCAGCAGCCAGCGATGGCTACCTAAGCGCTCTCTGCATGGCCAGCGGGTGGAGACCAGAAAGCTGATTAGGAAGCAGCTCTATCTTCAGCTGGCTCTTCCAGCCACGAGGGGCTTCAGGAGGGTGGGAGACTTCACCCCTGCTGTGCTGGGGGTGAGCCAACTCGAAATGTTACAATTTTGGACTTTTAAATTGGCTTTTAACTATTTAACTCAAGTTCATTCCCAAGACTGACAATTTGCAAACAAGGTAAACAGGAGGCGGCTCCACGCTTCCCTCCCTCCCATTCACAGCATTTGTCTCCAGGCCTGCTTTAATTATGTGTGAACCTCACTCGAAGTCAGCCTCATCATTTCGTCACTGTGAGAAGCCACAGACGATGGCATTTTTAAGTTGGCACCTAGTGCAAATGTTGCACTTGAAAGAGAAGAGGGCAGGAGTCAAACGGAGCTTTCTCCAGGTCCCCAGCCCAGTCAAGGGCAGCTCAGGCCAGAAGCCAGATGGCCGCTCCCCCGCAAAGCCGGGCTGGGGGGCGGATGCAGACCCTGGTCCGCGTGCAGTCAGCTGGCTAGCTCAGACGGCCACAGGACGCACCGCCTGGGCCGTGCCCTTCTCTAGGGCCACCGGAGTTTGGCGGTGGAATGTGTGCCTGGGGTCTCCAGGAAGTGGGTGGACGGGACAGCCTGGCACCCGGCACCTGGCCGCCAACATAACACATCCTGAGAAAGACCCCGGTCCCAGGCATCACCTGCACTGTTATGGCACACAACCCACACCCAACTGGGAAACCGTTCTAACTAATGATCAAATTCTAACCAGAAGGACCGCCAAGCCCAGCATCTCCGCAACATGGCTGCTGCAGTCACAGAAGCTGCGCCTGTGCCAGGTCCCCACGTCCCCCGCGCGTCTCCGAGGCTGCCGGTTCACAGCCCATCTCCCCACCTGACGGGGAGCCCAGGAGAATCTGAAGCGTCAGGATAGGGACCCCAGGCCAGCACTTCCCAGCCTTCTCAGAATTGGTCAGAAAAAGTCAAGAACGCAGCAGAAATGATTTCACACATTCCACTTTCTTTAAGGAATTCTGAGTGCAACAGCCTGCCAGCCCTGCAGAGCGGCCCCCACCCCTGTGGCCCCCCAGAAGTGCTCTTGCCTGTGGGGGTGTCACCCGCGCCTCAGTGCCCGAGAGAGAGTGAGAAAAGGAGCTGCACCCACAGGGAGCGGCGGGCAGCCCCCGGGATGCCTGAGGGGGACCCGAGCTTGGGAAGGTGGCGGAGCGACTTGGGACAGCTCGCAGCCACTCCATCACAGCGACACGGGGTCCTCGCCAGCAGCTCCTGTGTGACCTGGGCCAACTACTCCATCGCCGCACCGTTTCTGACTCTACTGGCGCCCAGCAACCACCTGAATAGCCAGCCTCCCCCGGGTGAGTGAGCCCCAGGCCCTGTTCTAGGATGTATTTAATTCTGACACCACCTGATTGACAGATGAGGACACGGAGGCACACAGCCCATCCTGGCAGAGCCAGGCCGCCGTTTGGATGATACGGGGCGTGAAAGAGCTTGGGGAGCCGCCCAGGGGTCAGCTCCCGCATACGTCAGGGGTTAGACAAATCAAGGTTAATTTTCCTACGCACTCAAACATATGGGGCTTGCGCTATTTCCAATTTTTGCACTCGAAGAAAGAATTTATCATGACTTTTATGTCACATGATTTCGAATTCCCAAGGTGAAGACACACCTTTCTCCCACAAAAGGAGGGCTGCCCCTCCTTCCTCCAACTGGTTCCAAAGGGCTCCTGGCCAGAGGAGGGACTCCTCCTCCAAGGAGCTCAGGGCACTCTGGGGCCAGGGCTGTGTCCCCGGGTTTGTGATGTTCTCTCACCGTGAGAAGCACAAACACTCAGGACGCCACTCCAGAGAGGGATGTAAAGCTGAGAATGCCTAGAAAGAACGAGAAGGGACGAGAGGCCTGCCTCTGCCTGATGAGCGCGGTGTGCTGAGGAGCTGGGCCATGTCTGCAGAGTGGACTTCTCTCCCTCACAGGCTCATGGTCTGTGCCTGCTGGCTGCAGCTCTGTCCTGACCTGTCTCAAGTGGGACAGGGGACAGTTGTAGGCTCCCCAGGCCATTCTAACCAGAACTGACAACCACCAAAAAAGGTCCATTTCGATACCAAGAAACTGGCACCAAGGGAGCCCCTGGGAAAGCAGGCCCCCACCTCACATGCGCCCTCCTTGTCCTGTTCGGATGCTCTGCCATGTCAGACACGGCCCCAGACCCCACTGGGGAGGACTCACGGTCCCCTGGGGCAGCAGGACAGGCAAGGACAGGCAAGCACAGGCTGTGTCGGGCGGGTGTCGCAAGGTGACAGACTCCAAGGACGAGGCTCCAAGGGCAGACGCCACAGAGAGAAGCCCGCTCCTGGGAGCACAAAGCTGGCGTCACTGGCTAAAGCACAGGACTCAACACACGCCCAGACTATGGCCTGAGCTGGCCAGTCCCGTCATGTTCTGGGGGCTTCGCTAAGCTTTCTCCTGAGACGACTGCAGCGCAGGGACAGCGGAGGAGACCGCACGCCCACCATCCACAGAGGTGCAGGCAGGGAGGCGGCACACCGCCGACGCCACAGCCCGCGCTGTCTGAGGTCCAGCCTTACCTGCCTAGTGCCTGGCCTCCCGGGTCATCATGTGGCCGCACCCACAGGGCACTCGGGCCCTGCAGAGCGTGAGACCGGCCCGCAGAGGCAGCACGTTCTGTCCCCTCGCGAGGAGCAGCATTAGGCAGGGCAGTGATCAGGCTTTCGTTAGCATGCATGTCTCGGGGAAGCTGCCCCCTCCAAGTTAGCCACGTCATCATTCTTTAGCACAGGTTAGCAGCACGGTGACTAGAGCAGATTAACTGGAGGAAGCGCCTGCAGGTGTGAGCCCAGCCACGCCCTGCACAACGTGACAGCAGAGGGGTGTGCGTGAGCATGACGACCACCCGCACACCACACGTGCCCTGCGCACTGGGGACGCCTTCCAAAGTTTCCTGAGTGTGATCACCGGCATTTAAGAATCGAGACACCCAGTGCACGGCTCGCTCTGGGACTCGCCCGCCAGAGGCGGGCCACGCCACGCGTCAGAGCGGGCAGAGCAGCACTGCACTGAGCTCTGGGACCCAAAACCAAGCGAGCGAGTCTCTGGATTATCTTCTGATCCACCTACCCAGGTGGGTCATCTTTTCCCATGTCACAAACCTTTTCTGCCCCAAATTTCACTTTCCAATTTTGAGACTGAGACAGTAGAGCTCATACCATCTGGCTGAAAAGCTGGGATGAGAATAACTTGCCCAAAACACACTAAGGCTGCATTACTGATAAATTTCAAGTGATCAGATCGAAGGAAACTTAAGAGTCTTTCCCTTCCGCCTGTGGCCGTCCCAGCTATCACAAGCTGGGACGCAGGGAGGAGCTAAGCAGCGCGGCGCTGACCGCTCCCAGGCCCTCACCAAGTTTGTCTGTGGATGAGATAATGTCAGCGGGCACGGACGAGTCCAGATCGGCATCCAAAATTCCCAGGGGGTCCAGCTGTGCTACATGGTGCCCTCGTATCTATGAAAGGGCCAGCAATGGAGAGGGAAGGACACACACAAAAGGACAGGAGAAAAAAAAGAGGGAAGGGGTAAAAAAAAGTAAAATTACATTAAAATTAGCGTTTACAGATTAGTTCTCACCCACGTTGGAAGAAACAGTTACTGGAGCATCATCAAAATTTACACAACTAATTCCGAGAGGATCAAGTTTTGCAATGTGGTGACCCCTGACCTGGAAGCAATAACACAAGCAGTCATTAAGCAGGTCCCACTGGCAGTGGGGGCACAGTTACACTTGGTCAAACCTCCCGACAGCACCAATGAACCCAGGGACAACGTTAATCTCCAAAACCTTCGAATAGTCAACCTTAAAAGCACAATTGTGCATAAATGCACTTTTATAAAAAGGGACAAACTTCTCAGCTCAGGAGAAACTTGGTTCTCTAAAGAGGCTTGTTGGTTGGGATCCCTACATGGTGTCCCTGGACAAACGGAAATGGGCTCTGCTGAGGGCTGTCACCCCGGTGTGACGCCTACTCAGCTTAGAACAGGAAGAGGTCCCCGAGGAAGAAGGGACGGCTGGCACTGGACAGGAGCACAGAGCTGTGCGGACTGGGCCCCAGGGACCTGTCCCGACACTGCCGAGGCGTCAGGGTTAGGGCACGGTGTCAGACAAAGGATCTCTACAACAAGGACTTTAGCACCTGACCTGAACTGTCTGAAGAACAAAAGGAGAAAGGAAACCCCTTCCAAGTATGTTTCCTTAAGTCCCAGATACTTTCCCATCTCCTGCTGGCACCGTGAGAGGGAGTGGCTGCGGTGTCCCCACAGAAGCGTCCACTGTGGGCAGCACTTCAGAGAGAGGCCATGCTGTCCCGACAGTGCGGCACCTGCACTGAGGCAGAGGACGCCCAACTGCCCGCCACGCTGCAGAGACTGGGCCCTGGGGTCCCCGGGGGGATTCCTCCTCCTTGGAGCCACTAGCGACCAGGTGCTGAGATCTGAGTCCCGGGCTCGGCCGCCAGGCGGCTCTCCTGGGACAGGCTCCCAGGCTCTGGGGACCAGGTCTGCCTACCCCCGCCCCGTAGCGGGGCTGACCATGAACTGGAGTGCTCCCGGAACATTGTCCCTCCCTCACCCACCTCTCCCTGTTTCCGTGGGCTCTGTGGTCCCCAAACTTTTCAGGTTCATTTCCTTCTGTCCTATTTGGGCGCTCGCCACTGACACGGGGACAGGGCCTCCCAGAGTGGCACACGCCTCCTGGACAGACACTTCCTGCCTCCAGGCACCGATGGTGTCTCCCTGCCTGAAATCTTCCCCGTCATCTTATGGAAAAAAATGGGGAGCTGTTTCCAGGGCTGGCACTAAGGGGCAGAGGGTTTGCTCAGAGGGCGAGGTGGTCCTGGCTCCTTTCCTCTCGGCATGTTCCATTCTGGGGACCCTCAACCCCGGGCAGCGCCCGCCGGCCTTACCTGGTAGGCCCTGATGAGTGACTGCACGGCCAGGTGGTCCTCCACCAGCTTATCCACGTTGGGCTGCACGTCCACCAGGGGCTGCGCTCGGGCCGTGGCCAACAGGGCACCCGGGCTCAGGGGGAGCGGGCTCTGGTAGGCGGTGCCTGGGGGCGCCCCAGCATTGGTGTTTCGGAAAAAAATGTCCCATGACTGAAGAAGAGAAGGAACACACGTGTCACTCCACTGCTCACCGAGGGCCTAGCACTCATTTTCAGCCAAAAAAGAATTGTTCTTGGCAGGCAGGTCACGTCCTGGTCACCTGCCTACTGGCAGGCTGCTTGGGTGACGAGCTCCTACTCTGGTCAGCTGCCTCTACCCGCAAAGGGCGGGTCTCTCGGAGGCTGGCCCCTGCTGCCCTCAGCCCCTCGGGACGCACCTATGACGCAGACGCCCTATGGCTGCCCTTCCATCCAAAACCCCCTGCTGTCCCCCAATGTCTACAGCGCCCTAGGTCATCAAACCCTGTCACGCCGCCTGAGGGGGACCCTCTCCAGACCCGAGGCTCGGCACAGCCCTCGGGGCCCAGGCCCGCCTTGCTCATGCCTCACTCCCCAGACACAAAAGCGGGGCTTGGCCTAAGAGGCAGCCCAGGGCCGGGACCCCAAGAGAAATCGTGTCGTCTGTGCTTTGGGACAGCCCCTTGGGAGCTGAGGGCTCAGCGAGTTCAGTCAGAAGAGCTGTGAATCTGAGCGCTGACATCTTGGTGAGTCCCCTGCCTTTCTGGGCGCAGTTTTCTCATCTGTAAGATGAGGACAAAAAGCTGTCCTCTCCACAGGTCTGCTGAAGAGCCTGACCGCGCCCCTCAGGACGCAGCACACAGTCCGTCAGCAGCGACAGCCAGACTGGCACCACTCTCCTTACTGCCCACAGGAACGGACCCGTTGACTTCAGTTTCTGTTTTCAGCTATTTCACATCTGAACGATTCAATTGATAATTTGCATAGATGCTGTGAACTACAAAATCTACTAATCTCATACAAAGATGTGCATTTTAAATAAATATTTCAGAGACCAGAGAAACTAAGACAATAAAACCCCATTAAAAACGAAAACAAAACCACCCAAACTAAGAAACCAGAAAGTTTGGAAACATGAAAGCACGGCCTTTCCTCTCCGGCACCCATTTTCCCCCGTCAGTACTCTGATCAAGACTGGTTGCAGAGTCTGGAGAGAAACGTCACTCGACTGTGTGCCACCAACATGCTGCGCAGATGCGCTCAGCTGCGGCCTGGCAGGGACCCAGTGGGTCTCCTGTGTTGGGACAGGAACCGCGGGGCACGTGCTCCGATGCTGTCGGGGACACACGTGCACCGGGCTGGGGCTTCCCCGAGAGACCAACGCCTGCTGCTGCCGACCACCAACCGGGAAGCCTGCTGTGACCGGGACGCCCACCTCACTTGGCAGTGTGCCGCCCACTACAACTGCTTCTAGGGGAGCCCTGCAGAATGTTTGAAGCATCCTCCAGCAGGAACGCGTCCCCCTGCACTCGGGAACTGAATTACACCACAGCCTGGGTGACAGCGATGACCACACAACACGGAATGCACGAAAAAGCAGAAAGACACACTTTCTATGTGAGTTACAGCTTCACACCGACTTCCAGTGATTTAACAAATCGCACTCCTCAGCGTCTTCCTGCTGTCACCATCTGGCGGACTGTCAACGTGCAGGCTGACATGGGCTCTCCCTGGGTCTGCCAGACGCCGGCTGTGTGACGCACCTTGCACCCTGGGCCCTGAGATCAGGCGCCCCTCTGCAACCGGGACTTGGGACCCCGAGGCGTTCACTCTCTCAGCCTTCCGTCAAGCTGCCTCCTACCAACGCTCACTGAGCCCTGCTCCACCGCGCACAAGGCCGCCTGGCAGAGAAAATGACTGACTCTCATGAAAGAAAGGACAGGCTGCCTCAGTGTCCCCTCCCCCAGGCGAGGTCAGGCCCCTGCTTGGCCCCAAACACTTCCCACTTCCACTTCCTGCAGCTTTTCCAGCAGGCCCAAGCGCACTCCCTGGCCTCCGTCCGGCATCTAGTAACTGAGAGCCCGGCCTAGAGGGAGCCCCTCCAGTAATGGTAGCTAGTGGGGCAGGGGTCAGCCCAGCCTCGCACAGCAGGAACCGACAGAAAGCTGCCCGTGCCACGTCAAGCCACGTCAGCTTTCTTCTCTGCCGCAAACCAGCTCCAGGGCCGGCGGCCCCCCCCCGCCCACCTGTGTCCATACCGAGTCCTGCTCTAGACACACACCCTGGGGCTGCCAGGGGGCTGAAGGGCTGGGCATGACCTTAAAACAAGTAGCCATGGAGGCAGCATTCACGATGTAAACTTTCTTCAAGCCTGTGGCCAAACGCTTGAAGACGGGTCCAGAAACAGCGGCAGTCACCCAACAGCAGGAGCTGTGATCAGGGTGCCCGGCCACACACCGGCTCCGCATCCTGATGGGACCAGCTGCTTATGGACCCAGAGCCAAAAGGTAAAGTGAAAGTCACAAGCTATCCTCTCTCCAGGGAAACCAGCTCTGAGTAACAAGAGCAGCAGGTGCCCCCCCCCTCTCCCCCGGGAGTGCCAACCCCACCCTCCTGGGAGCTGCAGGCAGGAAGATGGACATATGGCCACTAGGCAGGGACCATGACCAGGGAGAGTGAGTCGGGCAGTGACCCTTACAGAAACAGTATCTCACCAAAGCTAGGGAACGCTGACACGGAATGAAGTTTGAGCGTTGATGCCTGAGGGCACCGGCCCCTTCAGCCGGGCCCTGGGAGGGGAATCGCCACCATCAGGCCTCCTCTCTCTGGTGCTCGCTCAGGATAAAACTCCAAGTGAATTTTTTTTTTTTTTTAAGATTTTATTGGGGGAATTTGGGGAGAGGGACAGCGTTGGGGAATCGGGGAAAGGGAACAAGTTGCTGTCCTTTTGTTTTTCAGTCTAGTTGTGGAGGACATTGCTTCACTGGCCCA